CAAGCTCTTGAGTGATGCTGCCTTGAGAAAAGAAAACTCTGAGGGAAGCAAGCAGCAAATGGCCGCTGAATATCTCAGTGCTGCACTGTTTTGCAGTAAATTTGCTGTCCTATGGTGCAGTGCAGGTCTTTGCTCTGAAGGGCTTTTGCCATCTGAGCACAGAGTTGTGCTCTTCCCTAAGGGGTGAGAGGATGAGGTGCTGGGGTGGGGCTTAGAGGATCTGCATGCATCGTTTCTTCTGTCTTTCTGGTGGCTGTGTAAATAGCACAGCTGTCATCTTCTCCTAAATCAGAGCCCTTTCCTCTCCTGGCACCTGGGCTGTGGGGGCCCACAGTATTGATCAGTGGTCACTGGGTGCCTGTACACAGAGTGGGGGGCCAACATCCATGTCCTGGGGAGGGAACGGCCGGAGGAAGGAGGGTTTGTCTCGTGAGACTGGAGAGATTTGCTCACTTCAGAGTTGATGGGTTTGAGATGGAAAAAGGAATGAGGCTGTAAAGAGGGATATAATGTTACAGAGAAGATGGCTAATGGGCTCATTCAGAACCACCTGAAATGATCACTCCCTGGGAAATTGTGAATAATGGTGGCAAACAGTAAAATATCAGTGACGTCAGGCACTCGCCTTCTCCTCTTAGAACTTGAGGGATTTTGCTTTACATGAATTCATGATATGAGCATGATCAGTTTGAATTACCTGTAAGCAGTGAGGATCAGCTCACCACCATGCAGGCTGTCCTGCAAAATGCAGGTGGCTGCTGATGTTAAGTTACACCCCTCACTGAGGGCCCTGTAGTGATGCCTGAGGGCTGTGGGACTCCCACTGTGGGCAGCTGTTGTCCCTCAGGATGTGGCTTGATGACCAAGACATGCAAGGAACATGGGAGGAATTGGGCAGAACTGAAGCAGCTCTTCTTGTGCTCAGGTTTTGGGGGTGGGATGGCTCTCTCTTCTCGCACTGCGTGCTCCCAAGGGATGGAGTGGGAGCAGATGAATTCCCTGGCATAGTAACTACATGGATTTGGGTGCTGGAGAGTAAACAGAAGGAGAAAGACGAGAGGAAAAGTGGAGAGATCTCTGTTGTAATTATGCTTGAGGTGGGTAGGAGTTACATTTATTTTTCTGTCCTACTGCTTTACAAGAGGAATAAGTTGATTCCAGTTTTACTGCTGAGGTGCACCCAGGGATCAGGGGTGAGATTTTCATTGTATGCTGTGCCCATAGTGGATCAGTCCTTGCTTGCAGCCTCAGCTGTGGGCTGGGATTTTGAGGTGCGGAGAGCAGGCACGCATCACCGTGGTTCTGGCACATGTGTTGGGAGCAGAAGCTGGGAGCTGGGATGGGAGAGCTCTGCTGTATCTGCTGTCTTCATGCACGTGTCTGGGTGTATATTCATGGTGTGTTGTGCACAGGTTGGATCCCCGTTGTGAGCTCTCCCTGAGAATCTCCCTCCTCATGGAAGGAAAAGAGGAAGAGATGTGGTGTCCCATTGGCCCCATTCCCTTTGGTGGGCTTTGGGGAGTGTCCCAGTGCAGGTTGGAACCTGGAGCAGCCTTTTTCCTGATGTTGGTTGTTCCCAGGCCCCTGCTTGTTCCTTCTGAACTTCTATTTATTTTAAACTTAACAGTTCTGATGCTTAGCATCCCTGAAAAGGGTCTATGGAGACTTCTGCCATCTCCAAAAGGAGACTGATGGAGCAAATACGGAAGCTTACAATGAATTCATATTGCAAATATTGAAGTCAGCGTGCCCTCTTCTTAATAGATGTTATTTCTCATTCTTCAAAGCAGTTCATCGGTGATGGAAGGCAGATAATCCACTTCTGGAATCCTTCCTCCCTCGTGTTCTTGCATGATTTATAACATAGCTGGAGGAAGAGAATTTGTCAGCACCATCTCTGTGAAGTCGTGCTGAATCCCATTGCAGGAGGGACTCTGGAGAGGTTTTGAGTCTGAGAGATGGTTGTTGTTTTTTCCATTCTGCCCTGACTTTTCATTCATTACTTCCTGCCAGCTCCTCTGATGCTGTTTGCCATAGATCTGTGGCATTATGTAAAGCAGTCAGCGCTCATAAACAGAACCCAGCATCTCTCCTGTCTTGCTGAGCCATTGCAAGGTGAGCAGGGACTGCTCTGCGCTCTTTCACAGCTTGGCTGCCCCAGGTCTCACTTTCCATGCTTATTCTGCATGTTTTCAATCTCTGAAAAATTCTTGCTCTAATATCTCTATCTGCCACGCATTTCCTCTATATAAAATGCTGGTACCTGCTCTGCTTGTTTCCTGGGTGCTGAAAGATGCAGTGCTTGGTGGTGCTGCTCAGCACTGATGTGAAGGAAGCAGAGATGCTTAGAGCTGACCCTTGAAAAGCATAAACTTCTGATCCACAAAGCAGGACCTTTTGTGCTTACAGATGTGTTTAACGGCAGAGAACAGAGCTACCTGCCTGTTGCATCTGTTTCTCACCCTACTAAATAGCTTAACCTAGCTCTACAGTAGGAAAACAAGTGACTCCATCAATGGCAATGTGCTTCCAATGGTGATGTGTCCCAGTGCCATCAGTTCTGACGGGAGAAGGGTGTGCATGTCAACCAGAGGCGCTCTCAGTGCTTATAGCATGGGCAGTGATGGGAGAAATGAGGAGTTTCCTTTTGTGCACACTGTTGATTACTGGATTTTGGAGTAATGATTAATATCCAAAGAACACATTCCACCTGCCATCAATGGTGAGAGTGCAAATGTTGCTAGAATTTTTACATTTGCTTGGTGCCCATCAGCCCAGCAGTGAGAGATGGGTTTCTGACCCTCTGCTCTCCTAGCAGCACACTCTGCATCCCCCAACCTACCTCCTTCTCTCTGTTAGAAATAATTTCCCATCTTGCAAAATTAATTCTCTGCTCGCAGTGGCCTTCATTAAGTAGCACAGCAAAGTGTGCTGAAGGTGGCAGAACAGCTCAGGCAGAGGAGCTTCACCTCCTGAAAGGAAAGGCATAAAGCTGTGGGCTTCTGCTGTTATGGAGTGCAGGGGACTGTAGGCTGTTCTCTGCAAAAGCAGCAAAAGTTCTGCATGTCGTGGAACAGTGTTTGTGAAATTAACCAATTTGAAACAGCATCAAACACAATTATTGGCACTGATCTGTTACGGATATTCTGATTATTTACTGCATTTGCGTACAATTTTGACTTGAATTTGATTTTGCAGATATTCAAAGTGGGGTTGAGCAGGGAGGGAGGCGATGGCATTTGCACTGAGTGTGTCCTTGATTGGTGTTGATGCTCTGGGTGCATTCTGCAAATCCAGCATCTCTTCATAGCGTCATCTGTGTGCCTTCTGGGCAGCCATCACCTGGAAGGAGGGTTTTGTTCTTGGCTCATTCTTTTTTGGCTCTTATACTTTGCTGTCTGCTCAGAAGCCCTCCAGCAGGAGAGCTGATCACTTTCTTTTTCCAAGAAATAGGCTGGGAGGAATCCTTTTGGACTTCACAGATGAAATCTTGCTGGCCTTCGTTCTGGTGTGGAGACCCCAAAGGGTGCAGGGAAGATCTCTGATGAGGCAGGAAGTTGTCATGGGATGGCAGCCTGCCCACTGAACTGGGAGGGGATCCTGGGCAGAACAGAAGAAATAGTGATCTCTTTTGTTAATATGGTCTTCCATGATTGAACTGAGGGCTTGGAGGCACTCAGGGTCATGCTGGAGGGGCTCTGGGCACGTGATGGAGATGTAGGTGTCCCTGTTCACTGCAGGGAGTGTTGGCCCGATGGCCTTTAGGGGTCCCTTCCACCTCAAATGATTCTGTGATTGGATTCAGGTTGGGGTCACATTGAACAGAACAGGGGGATTGGGATTGAAGGTGCAGCAGGAATATGTTGGGTTTGGCTATGTGAGAGCACACTGAGCAGCATGAAGGCTGTCCAGGTGAGCTCTCTGCTCTAATTTACTGCTGTTCTTCCTTCAGCTTCTGAAAATAAATCCATTAACAATTAAAGTAATGTCTCGCCCAGTATTTATTTTGCATGCCCGTTAATGGACTGACCAAAACGCCTTCAAACACCAGGACTCCTGCATAACACAGAGGGCTGGATCTCTGGTATGTGCTTTTTCTCTTTGTTTTCTGTCAGAGCTGAGACCTGCTTTCAGGGAAGCGTTTAGGAACACTGCTGTGTGTTCCCATGCTATTACTGGTGAGGAAGGTGCAGCTTCTGTGCCAGATACCTCCATACAAGCTTTGCTGTGGAACTAGAGCATCAAGGGCTATCTGCTGGGCCCAAGCTGCCCTCCTGAGCTGCGTGTGGGCTCTGGAAGAGAAGCAGTGTTTGCTGCCCAAGGAGACTGTAGTCCTTCTTTCTGTTTCCTGGGCCATACCAATGTGTGCTGAACTGTTGGGCTGCACCCCAAAACTGCTGGAAAAAACAGCTTCTGCCATCTGTGACAGGTGAGCAGGGCAGCAGAGCGTGGGGTCCTGCAGGCAGGGTGCCCTTGGTGTGGGATCAGAACGGGGCAGAGCTCACGGTCCCCTCTGCCCCGTGTTTGGGGATAGCAAACAGCTGTGGTCACATCCCATGGCTGGTCTGCAGCTCCGAAGCTCCATGTGCTCCTCGAACTGAGACAAAGCAGGGGATGCTCTCGGTTACATTCTCTCCCCCCTTCCCCCCCCCACCCTGCTTTGGCCACTCTTACAGCCCCTGTTCTCAGCCCTCCCTGCCATTCGGCCGCTTTCTAGGTTAAATTTCCCAAATCCTGCTTCTGCTCCGGGAGCGCTCAGCCCTCCCAGCTGTGGAGCGGCCCCAGGTGGGTGCGGGACATTGCGGGGGGGGGGGGGGGGCGGGGGCCGGTGCTGGGGCCGACCCCCGGCTGCGGGGTGACGGGGGGAGGGCGGCAGCTGTGAGCGGTGAGGACGGAGCCCGCAGGTGTGGGCTCGCTCTGCTTTGCTGGGTTTGGCTTTTTCTTTTCTTTTTTTAATTCATCCCCTCCCTCCTCCTCTCTTTCCCCCCCCCAGTCTCGCTTTGCTTTTACGCAGTGACAGCAGCCAGGCAGCCGGGGCTGGCTCTGCCCAGCCGCCGTCCTCCCTCCTTTCCTCCCTCCCTCCCTCTCTCTCCTTCTCTCCCCCCCATCCTTCCCTGCTCCTTAAAACCTGCGTTCCGGGGGTGCAGTTCCTCCAGCGGAGCCTCCGGCCGTGCCCAACCCGGCTTTGTTCCCTGCGGGGCTGCCTGGATGCGGCCGCAGTAGAAGGGAAACCCGTACGCAGGTAAGCAGCCAGCAGGGTTTTACGTATCTCTGTATCTTTTATATGTATATATTAACTTTGGGCTTTTCCTAGCGCTTTGCAGGGGATGCTGCAGGGCTGCAGCAGGCTGGCTTTGGGCAGAAGGGGGAAGGGCGGGGGTGAGCATTTAGCCCTGGCTGGAGGGCTGCTGTAGGGGAGGTTTGGGGTGCACAAAGCTGCAGACGGGGCTTCCAGCCTCATCCGGGCTGTGGGTTGTGGGTGGGGGGCTCCCGGCGCCCGGGAGGGATGGAGTTGTGCAGCCTGCATTCCCGCTGTGCTGTCGGTGTGGAGATATGTGAGCTCAGGGTGCACTGAGCTCTGGAGTCTGCATCCCATTTCCGTGCTGCTGGGGAGCTTGGAGGGAGGCTGCACACTTCCCGGCAATACATCATCCCTAGCATTCCTTGTGCTGTGAGCTGCCCCATTTCGCCAGCGGATCTTAAAACTCTCTTTTTGGTGCCCCCAGGTCCTTGGCACAGGCTGGTGGTTCACGATGGACCCCCTCTTCCCTGCCCATATTTTGGAAGACCCCGACCTGAGAAAGCTGCTGAACGACTCCTCCATGCTGAACCTGAGCTTTCTCCCCAGCAACTGGTTCAACAACGGCACGGGAGACAGCTTCCTGCCGCTGAGCATCAAGATCACCATTGTGGTCGTCTACTCCATTGTGTGCATTGTGGGGCTGGTGGGCAACTGCTCCGTCATGTATGTGATCGTCAGGTAGGCACCAGACAGCGTGCAGGGGAGGGCTGGGAGCAGGGAGAGCTCCTGCTGAGAATAAATCAGTGCCGCAGGAGGAGCAGGTTGGTGATTCTCCGGTAATTGCAGTGTGCTTTAGAGGTAATGGTGTGGCGTCTGTTTAATGGTTTGGGTTTTATTTGTTGTGTTTTTTTCTTTTTTTTCTTTTCTCTCCCTTCCTAGGTATGGTGAAGGTTCCCACCAGCTTTCAGCTGCCCTCTGGTGCCTCCTAAAGTTTAACCCAGAGAATGGAACAGAGCGAGCAGATCTGTTTGAAAAAATGGGGCTGTTTGCAAGCTGCTGTGCAGGGAGTGGGGCGTCCTGGGGAGGGCAGAGTGTTGGGAACATCCAGGCTGTGCCCACTGCTCCGTGGGACATCTCCCTCCTGTACTGTGCCTAGCAGCCCACTGTGGGTGCAGGTGCTGCTTCATTTGGGAAGCTGAACCAAGTTCTGAAGGGTAGGGCTTGCTGGGAGGCTCAGACTTGCATTTTTCTGCCTGTAAATGCAATTCATGCAGCTTTTCCACCTCGTTGGAAAATATGGGTGTGAATAGGATGCTGCAGAGATAAAGGCAACTCCTCTGGCTTTGGGGTTGGGGGACCTTTGCAGGAGGACAGTGCAGAGCATGGGCTGCTCCTGCAGCGCTGTCTGACCTCTCTGCCTGCTCCTGCTGTGGTTTGAACCACCTTATTTCCTGCAGCCAGAAACCCTGCAAGTACAAAGTAAGCTCCTGCAACTGTTGGGGCTGCGATTCTGTGTCAAGTGCCAGCATCCCTCTTGTAATCTCAGTGCTGTGTGTAGTATAGAATCAGCTTCCATTCTATACAAATATTAGCAGATTCCTGGTGTGAGTGCTGCCAGTGCAGAAAACACACTGTAAACTTTTGTTTTCTCTTTCAGCAAAGATGACTAAAATAATTAGCAGATATTCAGACACTGAGATTAAATCCTGCTCTTGCTAGGAGCCCCTCTGCTCCCAAAGCGTTTCTTCAGTGAGCACACAGCTGTGCTGGGGGAGATGCTGCTAAATGGAATGTTGGTAAATAGGTTAGATCTCTGCCCCAAGGACAAAGCTACTCTCCTGTTCATTGAGTTGCCCAGCAGAGCTCTTCCTGAGGATGGCTTTATGGAGAGGAGAAGGGGTCACAGCCCTGCTGGGGAAGCTGGAAATGGAGGGAGGTTTGCAGCATAGCAGTGCCACACTGGGATTGCTTGTGTTTCTGTTCAGCACAGCGCAGTGTCTGTGGGTATGTGTGTATGCAGTGAGCAGTGAATCTGCCAATGAAAAGTTCCTGTGCCACAGCTGCTGAGGGTGCCTGAAGTGCTGTGCAGGCAGGGGAGGGAGTCCTGACCCTGAGTGTGTGTGAGCCTTAGGTGTGTGGCAGGAGGAGCTCAGAATTTCCTTGCTGGCTGCAGAAGTTCTTATGGGGTGTGAGCAGCCACCATCATTTCATCCTCATGGAAGTGGGCTAGGTGCTGGTGTCTGTGACAACCTGCATGTGTTGGCCTCTGGGGAGCAGAGTTCCTCTAAGGAGCAAGGAGAGCCTCAGGATGTGGCAAGGAGAGCTGATTGATGTGTCAGCAGCATCACCAAATACCCCAACCCAGCATCCTGGGCACACTTCCAGAATAGTGGCTTCTGTTCTGCTCTTTTTGGCTTGGATACTTTCCAGCAATATAGATGGGTCATAAGAAAAAGTGGCATTTAGCCCTGGAGTTTCCCCTAGAACATCTTGTCCTTTGCTTCCCTACTGGTATCTCCTGGAATCTCAGCAGTGGCTGAGAGCAACACTGAGCTGTGATGGGCAGTGATCCTTCTGGGCTCACAGAGTAGCAGCAACTTTTGGGTACTCCGGCCCAGAACTTATATTTCCTTGCCCTTGCTCTCTGGAGCAGATATAGCGATGAAACAAACTCAGTATCCCAAACCTGACAAGGGCCAAGCACACAGATTGACACAGAGCTCCAAGTTAGTGTGAGGGTGTGAGGATGCTGCTGTTGGCCTGGCTGACTTCTTGAGCATCAGTGCTGCTGGGCTTCGTGCCTTAAGCTGCACCATTTCTAGTGGGTCCAGCACGGTTGCTGGCAAAACAATGTATTCTGAGACTCTCAGCAATAATGCTTCCACTGATGGGGAAAGATGGGTGAATCTACTGTGTTGCATCATACAGAAGCTCTTTTCACCTTTCTGTGCTTGTATTTCACTGGGGATAACGGGATTACCTGTAAGAAATGGGCGTATTTCCTTTCACCAAAAGAACAGTTTGATGATGCAGGCAGTAACTGCTTTCTGTTTTTCAGGGAGTGGGGAAACACAAAGACTCAAAAAATGGGTGCTGAAGGAAATGGGAGGCTTCAAGAAGGCCTATTTGTTCCGTTTGAATGAGTTTTTTTCATAGCACACAGGGAAGAGTTTGGAACCTCTTGGTATTTCAGACAAAACGTATTCAAAGCCTCCTCTGGGTTTTCCCCTGTGCTGTAAAAGCCAACCTACCTCTCTATTGTATTTGGAGTGATTTAACATCTGGAGCTATTAATTTGTAGCGCTGGTCACCATGTGACTGCCAGTCCCTTCCCAGTGCTGGAAGCACTAATTGGATAAGACTGAGAAGGGCTCTTCTCAGGAGCACTATTTCCTGGACAGTAAAGGGCCCATTGTGGAGATCTGCCTGGTTGGGGCTTTGTTCTCTTTGCATCTCTGCTCATTGCAGAGTTCCTCGCCAGCCCAGAGAATGCCTCCCCTCCCTCCTCCTGCTGTCTGCTCTCTTCTGCATACATTTCCTGTGCTGCTTTTAATGAGGGTAGAACAAGGAGTTGAACATCGCCGTGCAGAGAGGATTTGAGGGGTGAGTGGGGGTGAGCAGACTGCTGGGTTCTTTCCTATCACTGATCTCTGCAGTGCTGGATGCCCAAAACCTGTTTTCAGGAAGAAAAGGGAAGGCAAAGGGAGATGTGTTGCTTTCACAATGGTACTGGGCATGACTGACATGTGGGCTATGGGTTGAGGTGCTGCAGACCCAGCTGCCCAGAATCTCCCTATGCATGAGAGCTACCAAAGCATTGCTGTGTGAGAGAGACCAAGCCCTGAAGCTTCATGGCCCCAGAGGTGCTGGGGGAGGGGATGATGGACAGCACACAGCTTCTGGCCTGGGGAGCGCTCTCACTCCAGTTGTGTTGCTGTGATGATTGGCAATGATGATCTGGAGAACTCTTCCTTGGTGCTGAATCTGCTCATTGGGATCAGCTTCGTTGAGAACGATGCCTCATCTCTAGGGCTCTTTGCAATGGGGCTCCATGGGGTGGCTGCCTCCCTCTGTGCCAGCTCTCCCTCCTTGGAAGCCTGGAGCAGTCAACAAAGTGCTGGGGCTGCTCAGCTCTCCCTGCAATTGTACATGGCTGCAAAGCAGTTCAAGCAGCTCTTCAGTTTAGATGCCAGACCTCTTCCCCCTTTACTTACAGCCTGAGTTCTGCCTTGCTGCTCCTGTCTTGCAGCTCTGTGCTGTCTGTCCTTCTGCTTGAAACCTCCATCGATCCTTGACTGTGGAGGCTGAGGGCAGCTGGCTGTGATGAGCCAGGGAAAATGAAGTTAATAGGACATCTCAGAGATGTTGATTTCTTAATAGAAAGCTTTTTAATGGAAGAACGTTGACCAGCTGTGTGGCTCGGAGCTGAAATTGAGTGAGTGGTTAATGCAGTGCAAACTCAGGGGATGCAGTGAGGTCAGTCGGGAGATCTGCTCTCCCCACATTGGCCTCTTCTGGTTTTTCCTGGAGTATAAACAACAACAACAAAACAAAAAAAAGACAATTGTAAATTGCAGAGAAGGAAAACCATGTGGAGGGGTCTGTGCTGTGCAGAGTGGGAGAGGGGAATCCCTAAGACAAGGGTGGTGGGGGACAGATGTGCAGCTGTGGACACGGACAAGCTGTGCCCATGGCACAGGGCAGCCCTGCCCATCTCCTACTGACAGCTCCTGTAGCTCCAGTGCCTCTGTTCTTGGTTTCCCCTGGCTTTGGTGGGGTGAGTTGAAGGGAGTCACCCATGTGCAACAGTAATTGAGTGATGTTTGATTTGCGACTCAGTTCCCAATGCTTTTTGGGTCTGAGCAGTTCCCAGGAGCAGGGCCAGCATTTAGGACTTGATCAGTCCAGCAGAGGTATCCACAGTGTGTTCATGGAGATGAGAGCATCCTGTTGCAGAAAAGCTGCTAGCAAACATCCTTCTTATCCTAGAGCCCTCACCCTGACAGCCTTCAGCATCCTTGCTAGCCTGAGGGTGAGCTGCAGGGGTTGGCACAGCTGTAACCCTCAGCATAGCAGATCAGGGCCATGTGCTGTCCCTGACCCCACCTGTGCTGGCTCCTGGTGCTGCTCCCCAGAGACCCTGGCAGTGGGGGGACACATTGCTTGTTTTTCAAAGCTGTCACCCAGACACCGTGGAGACTCGAAGGGTGAGAGAATTGCCTGTCCCAAAGCACCAGTGCTGTGGCAGCCTCCTTAACCCCTGTTCGCTGGTCACCATCCTGCCCAGGTAATGAATAGGATTTATGTGCTGCTGATGCTGGCTGTTTTTTTCAGTGGTGTCTGGCTCCATAGTCTGAAACTGGTTTCTGAAATATGCTGTTTGTGGCATGTTGAATCATTAGGAGCAAACAGGCTTAAAACGGGGAGAAATTCCAAGATGAGTTGGCTGCAAGAGAGTGATCAGAGCAGGAGGGATGTGCAGAGCACTGTGTGAGTACATGGCTGAGATGACACAATGCAGGACAGTCTGTGCCAGATCTTTGTTCAACCTCTGGGCTAAGGGCAGGCTGGGAGCTGGGATGTCACTGATTTCCACGGATTCCTGCTGTCAGGGCTGGAACAGCTCTGCAAAATCCCTCCTGAGCTCTTTCTGCTCTGTTTTGCTTCCCTGCTGCAGATCTGTGCGTGTCCGGGAAGGGGATGAAGGGACTGTCTGCATCCCAATGAGCTGGAGCTGCTGATGCCAAGTGGCTCAAAGAGGCAGAGGGCTCCTGGAGGTGATGCTCACAGCTCCCCAGGGCGTGAAGTCTTCTCTCTGTTCCCTCTGCCCTGATGCCTGCAGCTTCAGGATCTGACTTTGCTGATTCTTACCCCTGGGGCATCTGCATGCTGTACAGCAGCTGGATGGACAGGAAGAACAGTGCCAAAACAGTAGCATCGCAGCTTGCCCTGAGGCTCAGCCACAAGCAGAATCCATCCTGAGAAACAGCACCTCAGAGCCAGCATGTGGAAAAGCTGTCTTGTCCCCCTCCCCCAGATGCAGGTTCCCTTTCCTGAAGGATTTCCCCCATGTAACACTGCTGGAGGTCCACTTAGCAGAAAGGAGGGGGGCACCCAGTGCTGAGCTGCTCTAAAGGTCTTTATTCTTCTTAGGCTTCAGGAGCTGAGAAAGCTTAAGAACAGAGCAGGATTACATTTATGGTGAAGTGGAGTGGGATGGAGAGCTGAGAGCTGCTGGAGCACGCTGTGGGAGATGCTCCATTAGGAAATTACCTCTGTGACCGAGTGCAAGAAAGTGGCTCAGCAGGAGCTCATGTCCTGTGTGCAGACCTTGTCAGTCAGCTGTGCCACGGAGGGGGGGTAACTTATGAGCATCCTTGAGCCGAAGAGTTTAATTTCTCTTCTTTTTGTTGTTGTTGTTCAGATTAAGAAAGAGAACATTCTCAGTTCCCGGAGGAAAAGAAAAGAAAGGTTAATCTGTGGAGAAGTGATTAATTGATTTTTGTTTGTACTGAACATTCTGGAAATGTTTGGGTACATCGGTTTGTTGGGATAATGGCTGTTGGCTCTCAGCATGCAGAGAAAGTGGAGCTAGAAGTAATTAATTAGGTGCAAATTAATTTTCCCAACCTTTGAAGAGCACAAAATCAGCCTCAGAGTCCACATGAAGGTCGGCAGGAGGATGCGGGTGGATGGGTGGATCGTTGCTTGCTTCTCCTGTTGCTCAGAAATATAGATATTATATACATATATAATGTGGTTAAGTGGGCCATCTTTGTTCAAAAATGCAGCTGTTGTTCCCTCAAGTTACAGTGCTAGAGAAAGAAGAGTGAGATGGAGGTGTGCTGATGAGCTGCCTCACAGTGCAATCCTCCTGCATGGGTGGAAGGAACAAGCTTGGCCTTTGGGAAGCCTGCACTGAGGGATAGAGGCAGTAATGCTCTCAGGAGATATCTTCTAAGACAGTCTTAGCTGACTTAATTTCCTGAAGCGTGAGCTGACAATACTTATCTGTATGTGTTTTTGTGTGCTGGTACAGAACAACGATGCTATGCAGCACGGGAATCTTCTTTCTTTCTTAAGGAAGAATTGCATGGGAAGCCCTCAAGCACTAAAGCCTGGCAGCTTCCAGGTTGTGCTGGATTTGTGAGGTGCCTTGCTTCCTCGCCCCTTTGCAAGAGGAAGGATGCTGGTATTTTTCCTTCAGTGCTTTTTGTTATATAAGTTCTGATCTTTCTAAGAACCCGCTGCCTTGCTCGGCTGCTGTGCTTTCTGGGCCAGGAGCCACCTGACTGAAGCTTACGTGGGAACAGCAAATGCTTCCGTCAACATTCACCTGCTCCAAAAGCTCCCCTTGGCTTTCAAGGGCAAACATAGGCTCCTTTGTTCTTGCTTTCTGAAGCCACAGTCTGGCAGAAGGCCTTTCCAAACACCTGGCTTCTAACACAAGCTCTGGAAGGATAAATTGGACTTCATATTCCCAACTGTGGATTCTCTGGGTGAGGTTACTGCAAATTTGCTATGTCACCTTGTGTCCTGGCAGAGTTCAGAGTCTGGCAGTGACAGTATTCCTCTGAGCACCCAAATCACCTATCAGGAGTCAAGGTCCCCATCACCCAGGAGGGGTAGAACTATGAAGGTGCACGGCTCTGAGTTTGCTCTTCAGACTCGACTGGACTGAAAGAGCATGTTAGGTCAAATCAGGCCTCATCATATTGCAGCACGTATATCAAAGTGCAAATTGTACGGTGGTTTATGGATTTTGGCGTTGCCCTCAAAATGAACTTGTCCTCAGTTAATACATATTGTTGTCTGCCATTTCTGGCAACGCTTCTGTGAAGGCCATTAGTATGCTAAATGATTGATGAAATGAAGTTTTAAAATGATATCAACGTGTTAGCTCTTATGTCTGAGAGAGGAGCCTCCTGGAGCTGAAAGGGAAGGTGCACTTGGAGTCACGGCTGTGTTTCCATTCCTGCACACTCTGGATATTCTTGGCTGGTGATCACAACTTTCTTTGCATCACTTCCCATGCGCAAAGAGGAGACGACTAACACTGGAGCAAGGTGAATCTTTTGGGGCAGCCTGTTCCAGTGACAGAAATTACACAAATCGTTTGGAATTGGCTCATGACTTTATCCCCAAGGTGTCATTTCCCTTTCAGATTTTTTTTTGGTGTCTTGTAGCCCATTGCTAACCAGCGTTGGCCATCTCACCCGTTCTGCTTTGACAGCTCACATTAATTGTAGCCTTTGGCTATGAGCCCATACAGAATGGCTAATCATCTTACTCCTGGACCATATGATGCCTTTCAAATCAGCTTACTGGGTAAAGCTTTCACCAGTGTTTGTAATAATGAAGGCGTATGTGATGAAATCCTAGATTAGCCTTACTGAAGTCATTTTTCATAAAGCACGAGCTGGCCTGACAGCTTCAAGTGTTCGTTGTCCTTGCTTGTGGTCTATGAGGGCGAATTCTTTCTGCCTGTGAAACTGATTGTGAAAGCACCATTTCCATCAGTGTGGAAGCTGGGTAGAAGCACGTGGGAGGCCAAAAAAGGTGGCGATGTTCAATATATAGCTCTCTGGTAAGAAGAATGCAACATCTCCACAACATGAATGCCTACTTTGGCATACTTCAATGCCTTACCCACTGGGGTCAGGTGGAGCTCTAACCATTGCTCCTTTTTACATTTCAGATTCACCAAGATGAAGACAGCAACCAACATTTACATCTTTAACCTCGCTCTGGCTGATACCTTGTGTCTGATGACCTTACCCTTCCAAGGTACAGACACGTTCCTGGGCTTCTGGCCTTTTGGCAATGTCCTCTGCAAGATTGCTATTTCTATAGACTACTACAACATGTTCACAAGCACCTTCACCCTGACGATGATGAGTGTGGACCGTTACATCGCTATCTGCCATCCTATCAAAGCTCTGGACATCCGCACTCCTCACAAGGCCAAAGTGGTGAATGTCTGCATCTGGGCGCTCGCTTCTGTCTTTGGCATCCCAGCGATGGTGATGGGATCTGCAGAGAATGAGAACAACGGTCAGTCAAAACACACTGAGGGGTGGGGGGTTCTTATGCCAATGGCCAGGAGAGCTCTACTGTCTTGGGGAGCCATCTGAGGGGGAGCTGGTTTCGACAGTGGCTAATTTCCCTGCTATAAAGCCGTTTAAAGTCATTCCTCTTTGTCGTTGCTTCTCTGCATCACTGCTATTGTTTTTCAGTATTAAACATGCTTTAATGAAATGGAATGTGAAGGTCCTTCTGTTCCTGATATGGGCTTACTGATCTTCTGCTCCTTACTTTTTCCTTGCAGAAATCGATTGTCTAATTAAACTCCCTTCGCCCGTGGATTACTGGGATCCGGTGTTTGGCATCTGCGTTTTTCTCTTCTCCTTTATGATCCCTGTGCTGATCATCACCATTTGCTACAGTCTCATGATCAGACGCCTCAAGAACGTCCGTGTCCTCTCGGGCTCCAAGGAGAAGGACCGGAACCTGAGGCGCATCACCCGCATGGTGCTGGTGGTGGTGGCCGTCTTCATCATCTGCTGGACTCCCATCCAGATCTTCGTGCTGGTCCAGTGCTTGGGTGCCAAGGCTGAAAGCGAGCTCGAGCTGGCCATCTCCTGCTTCTGCACAGCGCTGGGCTATGCCAACAGCAGCCTGAACCCTGTGCTATATGCCTTCCTAGATGAGAACTTCAAGGCTTGCTTCAAGAAGTTCTGCTTCCCTACCGCCTTCAGAACGGAGCTCCAGATGTCCAACAGGATGTGCAGCATTGCCAAGGATGTGGCTTATGCCTGCAAGAACTCAGAGGGGACTAACAATCCGGCCTGACTAGGCATGGAAATCCCCATGGTGGCTGTCGCCCAGCAGAGTCCAACCACTCCCACGTCAGAGCTAACTCAGATAACGGCCCTTTAGCAGGACCTCAAAACTGAGAAACCAAGGAAGCAATTTTGGGAGTTGGGAAAACTGGACGCTGCAAGAGCATGCAAAAGAGCTGATTCAATGCATTTTTAGTTCCGACGTGCCCTGCACTATGGAGCACATTTGAAATCGGCCTTTTGATTCCTGTGAAACCCTGGTGGCTTGCAAGGCTATCGAGAATTTGGGAATTAAGGGTTTGAAACAGGCATTGCTCCTGCATCTTACGCTTCTGCTGCTGGGAGACAGACAAAATGCAGACTATTCCATTTCTTTTTCCTCCCCGAGTCGTTTCAGATCCTCGGCTCTTGTACCTCTCTGGGCACTCGTGCACGGGTTTATTCCTGCGGCACCACTCTGAAATTAGACTTTGCTGAAGACAAAGTGGGCAACAGCCGTCAGACAAAACCCAAGATCATCTCCAGGATGAGTCATCATGAGGGGAAGGATGCGGGGAGGGAGAGGAGGGAGAAGAGCTGGCAGAAAGGGAAATTCAAGCTGCCGGGAGCTGGCGAGCTCTGCAGAAAATCCTCTACCTGAGAGGGGAGAGGAGGAGGAAAAGATGGATGAAATGGACACAAATCCTTGTTTACATGCTGCTATTGTTTGTGGGTTGTTTTTTTTTTTTAGCATTATCTTCCCATTGTAATAATGGACAGAATGTCTGTATATACACATATGCGTCTCTATATTGCTATGATACAGCTATAGTGTAAGATGTTTGTCTTGCCAAGCATGCCTTGGTGATCTTCCTCAGTGAGAGGAGGAAGGAATGAAGCGGATGGAGTGGCCTATGAACACATGTACCTGTGTACAGGGGGAAGCCATTTCGGAGAGCCCTGCAGCTCCTCCAGAAGGCGCAGATGTTTCTGGTAGGAAGAGCAGCCTAGAGCCGCCCCATCTGCTCCGTGAGTGCAAAAGATGACTTACCTATTTATCTTGGCAGAGTGACATCACTGATGCTGAGAGCTTTGGGAAATGCTGCTGAGGTGCCCCATCTTCTACCAACCTGACTGATTTTCTTTATTTTTCCCCTCTTCCGGACCTTCGTGTAAAATGAAATGCTCAGCTATTTCATTTGCTCATGCAAGTGTTCCCGGAGAGTTTGGCCACTGAGTGCCCTCTGCAGGGACAGTGGGCCTGTGTTCTTCCTGAAGCACTGTGGCCACAGGAAAATTTGGGAAGGAAAGCAGTAGCCCTTGCTTGGAGATGGCCGGCTGCGGTGGCAGCCAAACTGTACAGACTTCACGTGAATGTAGTTCTTGTGCTCTGGTCTATGAGATGCTGTATTTTTAATGTATCACTTTACCACTATTTTAATGCTATCACGTTCTTTATATATGCTGTTTAAAAAAGAAAAGAAAAAAATATCTGATGTTATATTTCTATGTAGAGTATTTCCCTTACAGTTGGGCTTAAAATATAGACACAGTCTCAGCGTCCCCTGTGTAGGACCCAGGTCCCTTGTAAACTCTGCAAGCTGGGACCATTCTCGTAGTTTATACTGGGAATCTGGAGGGGGATATAAGGGAGAACTTTACAAGTAGCACTTCCCCTGAGTAGCTGCAGGAGAGGAGGAGGTCTGGGCACTGTAAGCACTTTGTGATGGATGTTTATCCCCAGGCACTCACCAGGAAATCTCATACAGCCCTAGGCACGCCATGGGGACAGAAACAAAGCAAGCTTGATGAGCCGTTGTGCTCATGGATGCAACGATGGTGTTGGCCACTGGCAGCGTGGGGTCTTCTGAGCCACACGATGTGGGGTGTTGGGTATGAGTAGGGATGTGGCTGCTGGGCTTTCCTTGCAGTGCCATGAGCCAGAGCAGAGCCACGCTCCCTTTATAGCTCCTGGTTGTGTTTTTAAACAGATTTATGTCCTCTGAAAGTGTTTGGCACTTTTTATAAGGATTTTGTTATAATGACTATGCTGCAACAATCTCACATAATCGAGTAACCAATAAATGTGTGTTTACTGAGCTTTTGGGTAATTCTGTGGCCCTTGCAGTGGATGTGTATAGGCATTCTGTTCGTGCTCGGTGGAGTTATAAGAAGAGCAACAAAAGCTGGAAGCAAAAGCTTTATTGTACTGTGCCTACAGAATTAAAGGCTTGTGCTCAGCTGCCCAGCTGAAGTGCAGGCTCTTTAATTCTCCTCTAAAATGGTCGTGTTGGTATGATTTTACAATTACTGCAGTGTAAGTGATAGTTTCCTTGGTGGCTACTTGTGTGCTTCAATAAAGGAAAATAAAACCCCCGTGCTTGGAATGATGTGCAATCTGAAAGACATGGCTGTGTGGGTCAGCAGCTGTTGGATGGGACGCTCGCAGGAGGGCTTGTGTTTCCACCTGAAACCCCTGCTGAGTGCATGCAGCTCCACCAAAGCATCCAGTCCCGTTTTCCTGAGCTCACTGGGACTTCTGTTGTGCTGACTTCGTCTGGAGGTGGCCTGCATGCAGAAGAAGTGAGAAAACGGGTGATGGAGAGGGGTGTGAGCTCCTGCAGCTTCTAGGTCCCATCCCGCAGGGCTGCAGGGCTGGGCATGGTCCTGCAGAGCACTGAGTTATTGGCCTGCTTTGAAAACAAAGCCTAAGCAATCTCCCATAGCCAGAAAAGATTGATCATCCTGTGCGATGTGCAATAAGGAAAGCATCTTCTCTCTGCATGGAGATCGATATTCCTACCCAGACAGGGGAATATCAGCAGAGCTTTCTTTATTAGCAGTGGTGATTTTAGTTTATTTTATTTTCCAGGAGGAAAAAAAAAAAAAAAAAAAAAAAAAAAAGAGAAAGAAAATTGATGAGGAAAAATAAAAAAAGAAATCTCTATTGCTCCTCTAGTCCAGTTAATTGTAAGTACCCAGGGGTGAGTTCTTATGGCAAAGCTATAAAATAAGCTGCTTTATTCAGTACTGTGGAATTCATTAATGCTCTGAGTGCTGTCCCTGCTGCTGGTGGCTGGGGCTGGCTGCTGGAGGGGCTCAGGAGGGACGAGCTGAGCTGTGCCCTGCCATGCTCCTGGCTTTTAGGATGCTCTGTTTCGTAGGGATGCTTCGCTCAATGGGGCCGTGCCCCCTTCACCTCCCCCTGCTCGGGCTGTTCTGCCCTCAGCTTTCCTCTGTGGTGAGGTTTTATGCCACAAAGGGGATGAGTTATCTTCTCCTGTGCCACAGATCAGAGGTCCTCTGGCTCAGGTGAGTTTCCAGCTGAAATCACCCTTCTGATGCCCACTGCCCTTTGGAACCGCAACACCTTCCACCATCTGCAGCTCCAGCCCCAATGAAGACGTTATCTAATGCTGACAAGTCGCCAGGGCTATTTTTACAAGGTGTTTTTTTGTGAGGAGCTAGACTGTAAATATGTCTGCTTTTTTTTTTTTTTCCCCTTTCCCAAAGGCAGATTTGTTAACTCCTTCAGGAGCTGCAACTGTGCTCTGCTCCTTCTGCGCATCCCTCAGGTTCTGCTGCTGAGGAGCAGCTTTGCATGGGCCTTGGTGCCCCTGCTCTGCTTTGCAGGGGCTGGGTGCTCTGCATGGCTACGTCCTCCCCAGCGAAGGGGATTTGCAGGAGCAGACCTTACTGCCTGCTGAACGAGCAGCCTGGCAGCAAAGCAGAAAAGCTCCACTTTGCTTTCCCACTCATTTCCCTCTGCTTCCTTTCAGCTATTTTGGTGGGTACTGATGTACGAACCGAATTCCCCCAGCAAAGGAGAACCTCCTTTTGACAGATCTGGAGGGGTACGCAGCCCTGCTCGTGCATTCCCGGCCGTGTTTCCATGTGAATACGTGGGCAGAGCTTTGCTGCTGTGACTTTGCAGAACCGGCGGTGCATGCTGGCACTCGGCGCTGCGGAGCTCGTTGTGTTCATTGTGTGAATCACATCCCCGAGTTCCACCCCCTGTGGTTGGGATAAGGGAGAGGAAGGGAACGGAGGGCCTGAGGCTCCAGCACCAACCACTACCCCAAATTCGTGGTGCTGGGTGAAGAACTGAGATATAAGGAGGCAGAGCATGGTGATGACAGTTTGTGTTTGGCATCGGATTTTGGGGGTGGGAGGTGATGCTCCTGCTGAGCTGATGCACACCCGTTTGGGGTGGCTGCCTGCTCCTGCCCTCCTGCCCCTGTAGGCTTGCTCAAAGCATGTCATAACAGATGTGTTAAGGCTGTAACTCGTTCCGAAAGAAGGAATTCCAGGATTTTTCAGAGCACTGAGAAGATGTGCAAAGGGACGGGGATGAGGGAGCTTTAGATGAAAGAGCCCCACAGCTCCTTTTGTTCCCTCCAGTCCCCTGAAGCTTGGATAAACTGCATGACAGAATGAACTGACCAGTAAATGGAGAAACACGGTGATGTATCTTGGCAACAACAATACTAATCAGCCACGTAAACTACCTTTGCTCTCCCTCCCTTAATGCAGTGCAATCCCAGCTGTCTGCAGCGGAGCAGTGATGTGACTCTGTACCCTGGGACACCCTGTTACCTGCTTCCCCTGCCTGACTCTGTGAGCTGCTGCTGCCGTGTATGCGAGGTTTCTGCTTCAGCAATCCAGAAGCTCCCTTCATGCTCCCTGGAGTAGGAAGTGCACAAAGATACTCCAAAGCTGGCTGGGTTCATCTTCCCTGCTGGAGAACATCTGTTCAGCTCCCTGGATATTTGCTTCTGCTGGAAGCAAAACTGCTGCTCCACGCTGGTGCTGCTTGGATTGTTTCTGAGCAATCTGCAGGTTGGATCACCTGTAGCTCCGTGCAGCACGGCGTCACACACATCCTTGCTCCTTGCTCCTGCTTTACTCCCCACTCCATGCACCCTGCTGCAGTGTATAGGTGCTGGGTGGGAATTTCTACCTGCACAGACCACGTTAGCACCTATTTCTGGGAGCAATCCTATGCACCCGGCCCACTATTGCAGCAAAGATGCTCACAATCCAGCACAGAGACTGCAGCTCCTGTGCGGACTTCAGTATCTCCTTTGCTCTTTCTCTTCCAGGCTGCAGCCAGGCAGGATGCTCAGAAGCCCAGAGCAGCACTGGCCCTGCCAAACAGCAAACAGCAGGTTTTCCCCATGGTGAAGGATGAATTTGCAAGAAACCAAACAGGAAGCTTGATTTATTTTTTTTTCCTCCCCAAGTAAACCATTGGTAGAATGAGCACATTCCTGTTATTTTTTTTTTCTTGCATCCATTCACCTTTCTCCTGGCAACAGAGAGGGGACCAGGCAAAGTTGGCTCCAGCCCTATCCACTCTGCAAACACGGATTTTTGTGTGTTTTCAGTTTGCCATGTGCAGTGAGTGCCCTGAAAATACCACGCTGCACTGATTTACTCAGTGATGAAGAATGAACACACAAGCAATGCAGTCAATGGGTAATCAAGATTAATGGCTTTTCAGCTTACTTCCCTCTCCCCCCATGTGAAACAAATCCAGTGTTGTGATTTGGCTACACAATATTTATCCAATTTTAGGTGCTAATAGCAGCCTCTCTGTGTGCACAGGTCATTTGCTCACATAGTTCGGACTTCCCCTCATTTCAGCATTGCAAGCTCTTGCTTTGCTTAACTGCAGAGAAAATTCCTGGAGATAATCACTTGCCTCCAGGGATAGAGTGCAAAAAAAGCAGAACATGAAGCCAACCTCTGGCCCTGGCTCTGCCCCTGCTGCCTGCATTCCTGTGGCTGTGGAGAGCTGGGGGTGGAAATCCGAGCAGGGTTCTCTGCCCACAATTTGCTTTGGCATCAGCACTGGGGTTTGGCTTGAGAGTGCTTGGCTGGAAAACTGCCTCTTGTCTCCTGGTTACGTGTTAGGGATGGATGTGAGCTGCCCAACCACACCATCTCTGCCATGGGACGTGGCCATCAGCTCCTGGGGAGCAGCGTGCCCAGCACAGCCCCATTTCTCCAGCACACAGCTCAGAGAAATGTAATTACACCGCGTCCTTCGCATCGATGTGCAGCAGCAGCAGGCTGAGTCTCATGGGAGGTTCTTCATTGTGCTGAAAGCTGACTTTATTAATTACCAGCCTCTGATCTCATTTGAGGGCTGAGTTTATGAAATGGAGTCCTTATTTCTCCGCGTTCCTCGTTCGTCTCTCTTATCGAGTTGTGGCCAGTGGATGTTGGGGCCTTTAGAAACTCCTGGGCTCTCCTGTGATGGAGCTGTGCAGGGCAAGGCAACGCGGTGGAATTGCTCTGAAGTCCTGGGGAAAGAGAGAGAAAGAAATCTCCTGTCAAGAAAACGGACAACAGGGAAAGCTGCCTGGTTTTGCTCCTGGATTGCAGCTCACAGTGTCCTCCCTGGGATGTCCCTTCCCCCATGCAGGAGGCGATGGCAGCACCCAGAGGTGCTAAGGGCACACTGGGGTGGATTCCCAGAGCTGTGCTCAGCCCTGGGCGCAGCTCAGTTCTGCTTGTGAACAGCTTCTCAACCTGCCTCTATGCAGTGAGGCCAGGTTTTGCCTTTAGGCACTTACAGGAGTGCCTGTTTTTCCATCTAGACATCAAATATTATTTTATTTTAAAAGGGAAAATAGCCACTAAACAGTACTTGAAGCCTCGGGCTAGTGCCTAATTCCACTTGATGAGCTTTGTTAGATAATTGTAATACTTTTCTGAGAGAAAATAGAGCAATTGAGGCTTGTAATTAAAAGCTATTCAGACAGCTTTGATCTTCCTCTCTGCATCTCTACTTAGGAAAAGCAAATGCCAGTGAGAAACACATGAAAATATTTACTGTCACTGCACTTGGTGATTTGCTTTAAACCAACTCCCTTCCAGCACAAGGGAGCTGGGGAAACAGCAGTGCAACCTGTGGCTTTTTGAGGCTTTCTTAGGGAAGCTCTGTGTTTCAGAGGACGCCTGGCCTCTCACCACTCCATGAGAGCAGCACAGCTGTAGCTGTGGTCCCGTGGCTCAAACTGGTTCTCAGGTGCCCTTCAGACTCACCACGTGAGCCCAGCCTGGATCATTAAGGCTGGAAAAGACCACTAGGATCAGTTAGTGCAAACATCAACCCATCCCCACCGTGCCCAGTAACCACAGACCTCAGTGCCCTTCACCCCAGCACTGAGCTCTGAGGTGCTCAGAGCCCTGCAGGCATCACCCTGGGCTTGTGCAGAGCAGGGCAGCTCATGGGATCCTGCACTCGCAGTGGGAGCACAGTGGCTGGTGGATAGCAACCCCACTCATCACCATCCCAGATGACACGCAGGGGCTCCCACAACCTATAGGTGACAAGGCAAGGGCTAAGAATAAGTCAG